TCTCTCACCAGCAAAACACCTCGTCAGTTAAATGCCATTTTATGTTTCATTACTATACGATACAGTATTTATTATCATTATAGTATTACTATTTCGGCGATTAGATAAAATATAAATTATATTTGATGCAACTTTAGTTACATTTCCATGACTTTTCCAAAACTTTGGGAAAAATATTGTTTTCCAAAACCTTTCCAGGGCCTGGAATTTGCATTTTGAATTTCCATGACTTTTCCAGGTTTTGAATGACCGTAAGAACCCTGTAATCCACATATAAGCCTATGTTTGGCTTAGTAACAGTAACTGATTAGCTTCAAAGATAACATAAAATATAACGAAAAAAACAAACGTAAACATGAAAATATTAAGTTATAAAGCTGAAAAAACAGTTTACAAATAATCTTATATCAAATGTAAAAATAAGTTAGTTGCATGATATAAAAAGAGGGGAAGATGTTATTGTTATGCAAATAGTGCACATTACAATGACAGTTAACACTTTATATTATAAGGAATTTATTTGTAATTTAGTTACAGAGGGAGATTTGTATTACTATTATTTCCATTTAAATAGCGGCGTCTCTCACCACAGATCTTGAGCGGGGCCTCCAGCTCCAGCAGGATTGGCTGACTGAGGAAAATCTCCCGGGATTTCAGGCACAATCCACGGATCTCGTTCTCCTGCAGCTGCACATTCTTCCCCGGCTTCGCTCCTCTGACTGCACCAGCAACAAAACACACCGAAAGAAATCAGGTAAAGTGAGCACAAGATGCATAAAGAGTGTATGCAAAGGACGTTCAACACAAGTACACAGCAGCACAATGGTAGTGTATAGACTTTTTGCACTACTTTGTATTTTATTTAGGGCTGTCAGTCGATTAAAATATTTAATCGCATGATTGTCCGTAGTTAATCGCAAATTAATCGCACATTTTTTATCTGTTCTAAATGTACCTTAGAGGGATATTTTTCACGTTTTTAATACTCTTATCAACACATGAGTGGACAAATATGCTTTATATGTTTGTTTATTATCATTTGAACAATGACAAATATTCTCATGAATATTAAACACAACAACCTCTGAACATTACAAATATTCGCTTTAATTCAACCTGGAACCTCTCTCATACAATAATACAATACAAAGTGTGTGTGTGTGTGTGTGTGTGTGTGTGTGTGAATGTGGAGACACTGATGGATCGTTGGAGCTATGTGCAGCTCAAGGCATATAGCCTATGCTCGATTGGGAGCTGCCTGGACGCTGCAATCATGTTGCGCACACTATCCGTGCTGAGTGTGTTGACTTTTCGTACAATGTCCCACTGTCTGGCTACCTGCATAAAGTCAAGTGCTCGGCGCAGTTGTCGGCGAAATGTCGCTCCTCTGTTTTTGAAACAGCTCCTTATATCCGTTAGCGCAGCTAGCTAGCACCAGATGCTAACAACAACAACAACACGTAAGGTAGGGCTGTGCAATTAATCGTATTTTAATCGCAATTACGATTTTGGCCTGCCACAATTACGAAAACAACATAATCGGAAAAAACAATTATTTTGCTTTGCTAGGTTGTGACTGCACTGCAACATATTTGATCTAATTAATTTTGGTCTCATTTATTTGTATTTATCATATTTATATATGTTTAGTAGCATGGGGAAGTGCGCTCCAAAATATTTGTTGATCTTGTTTATTGGTATTTATTATTTTGATATCATTTATTTAAATGTAAATATAAATGTATCATTTTTGTATTGGTTTTTCAGTTGAATTATACGTTCAGGGTAATCAACAGTTAAAAAGATACTGTTCAAATTATTATTTGTATTTGTTTTAAAGTTCAATAAATTGATTTTTTCAAAGTCAATGAATAATCGTGATATCAATTATTGACCCAAATAATCGTGATTATGATTTTTGCCATAATCGCACAGCCCTAACGTAAGGTGTGCCTCGCTCGCACCACACATACACACACCCTCCCGGTCCTCCCGATGGCCAGTCCGGGCCTGCCGGGGAGCGTGGAAGTGTGGTCTGCCACAAGCGGGCAGCCGGAGCGAGGCTGTCAGCATCAGCTTGTAGATGGTATTTTAAACTCGATGCGCTCTGAAACTACGGGCGGCCGAGGACAAAAAATACACATGCGTTAATCGCGCTAAAATAATTAGTGGCGTTATTTTTTTTTTGCGTGACAGCCCTAATTTTATTATATACGTTGCATTGTTGGAGGAGCTCAGGTCACAAGATATGACAATAAAACCTTTGAATCGTGAATCTTTGTTTATATACCTGGCTGCTAAATCTCAGAATGAGTATTTTGTAAATTGTGTAATGTTTCTTTTTCAAATGTTGTATCTTTAATATTTTTTAATGCATGCTTCTAAGGTACTATTAAGCTGTCTTTGGCTCTTTTTTTGCTGTAACATATGCAAAAAGGTATTCTGATATGTGTGTGTGATAAATACAGTGTGTGTTGGATGTGTTGTGCCCTTTCTGTACATTAAATTGCTCAATCTGGATCCAAAATAGATAGTAAATGACAACAAACCCAAAATAAAAAGGTGACTGCTAGGTCATTCACAAGATGTTAAAAACAAGAAGTGCGCCGTTGGCTGAAGCAAATTGCCGTAGTGGCCAAACGGTGGTACTACAGCTGCCGTGACGTCATTTTGGCCCAAAAATACTTTCCCCCCATTGACTTACATTGGAAATAAAACGCCTGTAAATCAGCGGGGTTTTTTTTTTTTAGCTAAACAAACTACCCAGCACGAACACTTGTATATCCTTTATTTTAATCATTAGGGTTTAAAAGTTGTGAAATGAAGCTAAAAAGCTGAATCTAGAGAAGTGTTCTCTCTCCATCTCTCCTCTTCATTTGACAGAGAGCGGGAGATTGGAGGCGGAACTTAAGGGAAAACTCTAGTGCGCATGCTCTGTAAGCAAAAGGACCCGGATGAGCAGATAGAGGAATTTACCTACATATACACAGTTAAAAAAATACTGTAAGAAAAACAATGAAAAAACTATTATAAGATGTTAAATATATTTATATTTATTGTTTTGTTTATCTTCTAGTGCTCATATGTATATATTAATATTCTTTATTTTTAATTAATTACTTCTCATTCATGTGCAATGCCTTAGATATGCTATTGTGCATGGGATGAATAAAGTATATCTTATCTTAAAACATTAAGATATAGAAAATAACTTGCATGAAATATAGATATACTAAAAAAATTACAAAAAAAAATAAGAATATTGAAATACAATTATGTGCAGTATTGTTATGAAATAATGATCCGGGTACTATCGGAGTATACTCTCTCTATATAGTAATATAAATACTAATATACTCTATTTTGGGCTTCATGCGCCACTGATTAACTCTCATAGGAATGAACGGTGTTTCTCTTCATACATCAGTGGTTAATGAGAGTGTAATTTAAGCAATAAAAAGGAAATACAGTTAAATAGTGCTAACAACTTAAAGCCGAATTACAGATACTTATAAAACACGTTTAAAAAACCCAAATTGATAAAGTGTTTCTTGTTTTTTTTTACACAAAATACAATAAAATGAAACTGGCCCATTTCTCAGTGGAGTTAGGTTAAAATCCTACGGCTGTATCAACGAAAACACGTTAACAAATTAAATGTCAATATGTCCTTACCTTCTAAAAGTCGCTGGATGATACTGTCTATGTTGAGTTTGTCCACATCAGCCATGGTAGATTTGGTGTTAAAATAAACCTGTGAAATCTAGGTTAGCACGTTTTGATGGATGTTAGCCTAGCATTAGCTACCTAGCTTCTCCGGCTAAAAGGTACAGATGCTCTTCAGTGACCCTGTTTTTAATTTAGCTGCTTAAAGATAATTCCCACAACCTAATAAACTACTTAGACACCGCGATGAATTACAAAATCTGCATCCAATGGAGGGTTTTGATAAGAAAACAGAGATTAAAAAAAAGAAGCCGCACTAGCTGTTAGCTAGCGATGGTGTCAGTGTTTTTCTCTGCCGCACCTCGCACTGCTCGCCAAGCCGCTTCAAGGAGGCTGAATCCGGGGAAACGAGACGCTGCTGCCCCCTGATGGACCGGTGGAGAAGGGGACTTTAACCTACTTAGATATAGGCCTAGGAGATTAAATAGCAAAACATCAAGTTGACAGAGAAAGGGAAGGATGCAGAAACTCCTGTATTACAAATTGTGCGAGTTCATTTTAATATACAGAATAAAATCGTGTTTTACGTACTTTGAAATGATTGGATAAAGTGTCCAAAGCCAAAAAATAGTAACACATCAAGCTGACAGAGGAAGAAAATTATGCATTTTACGTACATTATAAATACAGAATGAAATCGTGTTTTTCTTGAGAATTTAGATTGAGAAAGGTACATTAAACTTCTTGGATAATAAGTGTACAAAGCCAAAACATAGCAACACGTCAAGTTGACAGAGAAAGAAAATAAAACAAAACTTCCTGTATTACAAATTATGTGAGTGAATTTGTCTAAAATCGTATTTTTATGAATAAAACAATGGATTGGATGGAGAAAATGGCTTTCAGCTATTTAAATAAAGTGTGAAAATAAAAGGAGAATAGCAACACTTCAGGCTGACAGAGAAAGAAGTTGAATGTGACTATGTATGTGTATATGTAAGTGCGTGTTCAGGTGTATTTGTATGTATAACAAGTAACAATGTAGTATATGTGTTGTTTGTATTATTTGGGACGGCGAGAAACGGTACTTTGACTTGTCTAGATAAAGTGTTAAGATACAAGTAATATAGCGACACATCAAGTGGACAGAGGAAGAAAATTATACTTGTGCATTACCAATTGCGAGGCTTCGTTTTTAAATACAGAATGAAATTGTGTCTTTTTTTGAGAATTAGGATTGAGAATGGTACTTCAAATGTCTTGGATAAAGTGTACGACCAGTTGTGGACAAAGTATTAATATATTTAAATAACACACTTCCTTTCTGTGGTGTCAAACTTTTAATTTCACAAAATACACATCAAGAGATTGCAGTATTTATAGACACATACACCGACTATTATGACTACATTAAAATGTATTGATACTATAATGCAAAACACAATGTGAGACAGTTAATTTGTATTTCTGCTCAAATTCATTTTCTGCACGTTTGTTTTTAAATCAGAGGATCATTTATTCCTGGTCTTTCTCCTCTCCGTGCGTGATGATGTGCACAAGGTTCTTGTAGTCCAGGTTTCCTGCCACATCTGGAGGGAACGCTGAGAACATCTCTCCCAGCTGGGGACAAGGAGTTAACAAATATATGTCAATATTCAAAGAGAATAATGTCTTTAGTTAAAAGTAATAGTCTGAGGTGGAGCTCTGACCTCTTCAGGGGAGAATCTGTCCGCCTGCGTGGTCAACATCTGAGACACGCTGTGAACACAAGCAGCAGCAGTGAGGGAAACATGTATTCTTATGTTTAGTATGTATAACACTGCATTGACATTACAAAAGTGTCTATTTTGTACTCACTAGTCTTTCTTCAGCGTTCCCTTCCCCTCAGGATCAAACACTTTGAAAGCGTTGAGGATCGTCTCCTCTGCGTCGGCACCTGAGGACAAACATTTTTCATATCTTGGTAGATATTTGGATCTATTTGCAGTAATGTTTAGCCTCTTTGTAGTCTTTTTGTGTATTTTCTGGACATTGTGCATCTTTTTGTAGTCATTGTTAGACTCTTTGTACTTTTTTAGTGTCTCTTTTTACTAACTATGCCTGCTTCCGTCAATATCTATGTCTCTGTGTGGTTTAGACGTTTGTTAAAAAAAAAATTAAATGTCTTCTTCCAGTAATTGCCCTGGTGTTGAAATATATAGTTGTCCTCACCTTTGAGTTTCTCTCCGAACATGGTGAGGAAGACGGTGAAGTTAATGGGCCCCGGGGCCTCCTTCAGCATCTCGTCTATCTCCTCCTGCTTGACATTTAAACGGCCTGCACACAAAGTGGAGAGAAAGATTTAGAGCTGCAGCTAAAGATTATTTTCATTATTGATCAATCTGACGGCTATTTTCTCCTCCTCTGATGAATCGTTTGCTCAATGAGATGTTATGGAGAAATGAAAAATGCTTCCAAATATTGTAGCCTGTTTTGTCTGAGCAACAGTCCAGAAATATCCAGATTATTTTACATAAGACAAATAGGAGAGACTCTTAAGAACCACATCATGATTTTGCATTTTTACTTTAAAGATCAATACATTCTAATTGTTTTTCTCCACCAATGTGCTTCAGCTACAACTAACTTCAACTGAGTACTCTTTATTCTTCCTAAATGTGGTCATTGTTATTTCTTTTTTTAACACAATAAAGACTTTAACAAATGCACTCCCAAGCAATACATATACTTTGTTTGTTAGGGTTGAGTGGGAGGTAGAAGTTGATTTAAGAAAGTAACTTCCATAAGGGGTCATACATGAACAAATAAAGACTATAAAAATGTTTATGTACAGTATGTTACTAAGTTAGGAATACAATCATGCATGGTGCTATTTTTAAAAACAGACTAAATCTACTCATGAACAGGTGTTTCTGTACCTAAAGCTGCGAACGTGTCTCTCAGGTCGTTCTTGTCGATGAAGCCGTCTCTGTTCTGGTCCATGATGGTGAACGCCTGCAGGAGTTAAAGATGTTACAGAAATGCTCCACTATGCAGAGAGTGAGATGCTTAAAGGTCCCCTATTATACTGTTTTTCATCAATATATTATAGGTCTCAGATATATACAGAGCCTGTCTCTGATTGGCTGAAACACCAAACAGATCGTTGTAGCATCCCATAATCCCCTCTGTCTCAGCCCTGTTTCCAAAGTGCTGATTCTCTGTCTGTTACTTAGATGAAAATAAGGAGCCCCTCCCCACGCCCCTCTGAGAGATATTTGGTTAAAAAGAACACAATAGGCACGTTCACGTACTTTTTCCACGTTCCGATATAGTTCCGAAATGTCGCGTTCACACCAAAAAGAGCCGGAACTAGAATTAGTTCATCAGAACCTTTTTTACCCCCTTTTCAGTCCCTGCTAGAGAGCAGGGACTTTCGTGGGAGAAAAAGGTTCCTATGTCTGATTGGCTGGAAGGATTGCAAACCACGCCCCGTAAAACTCCCAAAAAGTTTTGTGAAGCCGCCATTTTATTATCCTCGCATTAGCATTATTAGCATTAGCATTAGCCCAGCGCACAAACGCAGAGAGACTAACTTATGGCAACACAAAATAAAACATGGGAGCGGTGGAGATGAGGAGGTGTCGGCGTTCTGGCGATTTACTACTGAAGCCAGTCCCCAACTCCGGGGACTTCCGGCCGGGGACTCCGGGTGGCAGTATACGCCGTGAAGTTGTTTGCAGCCTGCCAGTAAACCCAAAGCAGAAGAAGAAGAAGTGACGTCAGCGGCTTTATTTGCCTAATCCTTATTCCGGTGTGAACGCGATCTGTACTTAGTTCATCAGAACTAAAGAGTACCTTGGTTGCTGATTGGCTAATGGTTAAACAATGGTTATGACATCATAAAGTGGCCAAAATCTGATCAGCTCATTTTCAGACAGGTTTTTATAGAAATGGATCAGGACAAAAAGAAACTTTCAGAGTCTCTTTACACAGAGGGGACACATGTTGATGAAGAAGAGACATGAAGAAGAGGGGACACATGTTGATGTAGAAGAGACATGAAGAAGAGGGGACACATGTTGATGTAGAAGAGACATGAAGAAGAGGGGACACATGTTGATGTAGAAGAGACATGAAGAAGAGGGGACACATGCTGATGTAGAAGAGACATGAAGAAGAGGGGACACATGCTGATGTAGAAGAGACATGAAGAAGAGGGGACACATGTTGATGTAGAAGAGACATGAAGAAGAGGGGACACATGTTGATGTAGAAGAGACATGAAGAAGAGGGGACACATGTTGATGTAGAAGAGACATGAAGAAGAGGGGACACATGTTGATGTAGAAGAGACATGAAGAAGTGGATTTTGCATAATAGGTGACCTTTAAACTCAACGTGAAATAAAAACATGTCTTCATAGCACCGACCTCTTTGAACTCCTGGATCTGCGGCTGCTCGAACATGGAGAACACGTTGGAGCCACCCTCTGTTCGCTTCTTCGCTTTCTTTGGAGCCTGCAGGAGTTCAACAATAACCAGCACATACATCAAAGTAGTAGTAGAAATAGTGCCAATATGGACTCCTTTGTTTACTTCCTGAACATAGTGACATCACGATATAAGTCTTGCGCTTCTATTAGCCAGCTCTCCAACACATTGTACGTGATAGGCTAAAGGGGCGGGACATCTCTAAGCTGGTTGACCAATCACAACAGAGCCAGCCAGCTAACCAATCAGACAGAGGGTGAAAAGAGGTGCTGCAGCACAGGCAGTATGAGAAAAATAAAGAGCTTTTTGAACATTAAAGCATGGAGACATGTCCCAGTAGAGACACTACATACTGATATACACCTGAACATCAGCAGGAGAGGACTCTTTAAAGTAGAGACACTACATACTGATATACACCTGAACATCAGCAGGAGAGGACTCTTTAAAGTAGAGACACTACATACTGATATACACCTGAACATCAGCAGGAGAGGACTCTTTAAAGTAGAGACACTACATACTGATATACACCTGAACATCAGCAGGAGAGGACTCTTTAAAGTAGAGACACTACATACTGATATACACCTGAACATCAGCAGGAGAGGACTCTTTAAAGTAGAGACACTACATACTGATATACACCTGAACATCAGCAGGAGAGGACTCTTTAAAGTAGAGACACTACATACTGATATACACCTGAACATCAGCAGGAGAGGACTCTTTAAAGTAGAGACACTACATACTGATATACACCTGGACATCAGCAGGAGAGGACTCTTTAAAGTAGAGACACTACATACTGATATACACCTGGACATCAGCAGGAGAGGACTCTTTAAAGTAGAGACACTACATACTGATATACACCTGAACATCAGCAGGAGAGGACTCTTTAAAGTAGAGACACTACATACTGATATACACCTGAACATCAGCAGGAGAGGACTCTTTAAAGTAGAGACACTACATACTGATATACACCTGAACATCAGCAGGAGAGGACTCTTTAAAGTAGAGACACTACATACTGATATACACCTGAACATCAGCAGGAGAGGACTCTTTAAAGTAGAGACACTACATACTGATATACACCTGAACATCAGCAGGAGAGGACTCTTTAAAGTAGAGACACTACATACTGATATACACCTGAACATCAGCAGGAGAGGACTCTTTAAAGTAGAGTACCCTTGTTCACCTCTCCATACAAGTGAAAATCGGGTAATTTATTTTGTTTAACGTACTTAAAAGTGTTAAATAAATGTTGTCGAGCTAAAAGTACAATATTTGCTTCTGAAATATAGTAGAGTAGAAGTATAGAGCAACATAATATCAAATAAAATGTAAAAATAGTACAACATTACTGCAGTAGTGTAGTCATTCTTTGCATAAAGTTTCCACATGTCATGAGGAGGGATTACTCTGTCAGTTTGTTGTGGAAATATTTACTCCAGCCTCCATATTTTATTTTTTATTTATGAGTATGCACCCTAAGCCTCAGGGGGGGGGGGGGGGGGATTATTCTCTGGGGTGCTGACAGGAAGCTGAGCTCTGTTTGATCAGAAGTCCCTGCGAGCAGCACGGATTACAGTTATTCACATGTCTGCCAAGGCAATGTGGAATAAAACACAGAGCGGTGGACAGCTGCTGTCTGACGGGGGATTAACTCTGAGGGGTTTGTGAACCTCGTGGACTTTTACTTCTGTATTTTATTTGTATTTATTTCGGTGTCTGAAGAGGATCCTGCTGTGATGAGGCTGAGTTTATTTTTCTGTCGCTTCCAAACATACTTCAAGACTTATATTACATTATTATCAAGTGTGCTGTACCTGTTGCTTCCTCCTCTCCTATGCTCTTGTTCCCTTCCTTTGCATCTCCTCTTTTCTCCTTAATTTCTCTCCTTCCTCTTCTACTCTTGTCCTTTCCCCTCTCCTTCCCTTTCTTTTACTCTCCTGTTCTCTTGTCTCCTCGTCTCCTTATTCCCTCTCCTTCCATTTCCTCACTTTCTTTTCCTGTTTTATTTAGAAAGGTTTTCCCTCTGTGTGTCTTGTGTGGTTTTACTTCCTGTCTTCCCCTGATTGGCTGATTCCTCGTTTGTTTCTGTCTAAATGATCTGGATTTCCCTAACCCTCCTGTTTCTTCTACATCTTCCCGGTTTGTTCATCTTCTAGTTTTTTTTTACCAGCTTTGAGAACACTTTAATGATCAATCATTATAAAACATATCATATATATTATTCTGAAATGGACCAATCTGCACAATCACTACTTTTACTGTCGCTACTTTAACTATATTTTGATGAGAATACTTTTCTACTTTGACTTGAGGAACATTTTGAATGCAGGACTTTTACTGTAACAGAGTATTCCTACACTCTGGTACTTCTACTTTTACTCAAGTACGAGACCTGAGTACTTCTACTTTTACTCAAGTACGAGACCTGAGTACTTCTACTTTTACTCAAGTACAAGATCTGAGTACTTCTACTTTTACTCAAGTACAAGATCTGAGTACTTCTACTTTTACTAAAGTACAAGATCTGAGTACTTCTACTTTTACTCAAGCACAATATCTGAGTACTTCTACTTTTACTCAAGCACAATATCTGAGTACTTCTACTTTTACTCAAGTACAAGATCTGAGTACTTCTACTTTTACTCAAGTACAAGATCTGAGTACTTCTACTTTTACTAAAGTACAAGATCTGAGTACTTCTACTTTCACTCAAGTACAATATCTGAGTACTTCTACTTTTACTCAAGTACAAGATCTGAGTACTTCTACTTTTACTAAAGCACAAGATCTGAGTACTTCTATCTATCTAATAATTGAAATGCATGTAAATGTGTGTATACTCACCATATTAGCAGATGATATCCAGATGATGGAAACAGTCTGCTGCTGCTGGATTTATACTGACGCCTCTCCTTGCAAAATAAAGCATATTATGACATGTTCTATAAATACCCCCACGCCTTCTTTAGTCACAGGTAAAGGAGAGGACCCCCCCCCCCCCCCCCAAACCCTCCCATTGTGATGGTTCATGAGATTTAACTCACATTACTGAATAACCCAGAATAACAGCAGGACAAAGCCTGGATCAGAGAGACAGGTGCTCCCGCTCCGCTGGGGGAACAGTCGTGATGAGAGGAGAGGGGGAGGGGGGGGGGGGGCCATGGAGGCTTTATTATAAACAGCAGCAGGCATAATGTGGAAAACATGGTGGGATCAAATACAAATAAAAAGACAGAGACGATAAAGAGAGGTTTCTTTTTTTTTAATAATTATTTTTTCAAAGTATTAAAATTGTAACCAAAATTAAGATTATTACAATTAATTTTAAAGCTATTTTTGTTTTCTGTATTATTAATTTAACAGTTTTTTTTGTATTTCAAATAAAGTGATTTATAAACAGCAACATGCGATAATGTGGATTATATAAAAAAGAAATGTAGTATTTACTAATCGTATAATAGTTTTTATCACAGTTTATTATAGGACTAAAATAGTAGAAGAATGTGTATTATTATTATTTGTATTATTATTATCATTATTTATCCTTGATTGTAATTATTATACTTATTTGTTTGTATTTATTTTTTTACAGAAATGGGTAATGCTTAATTTTCACTCATTGTAAATATTATAATTTATTTTATTATAATACAATATATTTTATTATGATATATTATTAGGATAAATTATAACGATATAACAAATTATATTTATTTTTCCACCAATCTCCTCACTTCCCTCTCTTGTCCAGCAGGCGGTGCTGTCAGCCCACAGCATCGTATAAACTACCATCAGAAATCTGAACACAGGAACACACACACACACACACACACACACACACACACACACACACACACCACACACACACACACACACACACACACACACACACACACACACACACACACACACACACACACACACACACACTACCTCTTATTCTGCAGTTTCAGTTCTAATAAAATCCTTTCTAATTAAACTGCATCAGGTATTTAATTATTTTGATATCATATGTATTCATAAAAATTGCAAGACATTATCCCATTTCCTAATGAATATTTGAATACACTGTCATCTGGTTCACTAATCACCCACCCTAATCACAAAATGACTGCAAAGAGACGTAAAAAACGTTGTACTGACATCATGTGATACTGTAGTATTTGGAGCATTGCTGTTGTTCTCTGGGACTCTTCTTGGCCTCTGTCCACTTCGTTTCTGGATGTCATCCTGATGTTTTTGTCTCTCAGTTGCTCTGGTTTTCATATATAGAGACTCACGACCACGAACGATAACAAGAGTGATCGCAAAAAGTGCAAAGAAGTGACACAATAAAACGACTAAAATGTCTAAACAACGACATAAACAGTCGTCTTAACAACTATAAAGTCTGTGTGTCTTTCTCTAAAACAAGTAGCATGTGCTAAATAAATTAAATAACATTTATCCAAAGCAGAGAAGCAATGATTGATGCTACATGCTGTTAGCTGTAAAGCGACTTTGAGACTCTGAAAAGCGCTATATAAATTCAATGTATTATTATTATTAGCATGCAGGCCAGATGCAGGTACACACTGAACAATCAACCAACAGTAAACACATTTAGATTATATAGATTTGATCACACAATTCAACTCATACATCTAAAAGCATACATTAACATAAACTCTAGAGCACTAACAAATTCCAATTAATTGCAATTGAAACACCATGGTTAAAAAAAAGTACATTTTTCCTATGCTTGTTGGCCAAGCATAAAAAACCAGATGCCAAAAACTGTTAAATGTTGGAGAAGATTGTAAACTGTGTTAAAGATGCCATATTCTGCTCATTTTCTGGTGTATATCAGTATGTAGTGTCTCTACTTTAAAGAGTCCTCTCCTGCTGATGTTCAGGTGTATATCAGTATGTAATGTCTCTACTTTAAAGAGTCCTCTCCTGCTGATGTTCAGGTGTATATCAGTATGTAGTGTCTCTACTTTAAAGAGTCCTCTCCTGCTGATGTTCAGGTGTATATCAGTATGTAGTGTCTCTACTTTAAAGAGTCCTCTCCTGCTGATGTTCAGGTGTATGTCAGTATGTAGTGTCTCTACTTTAAAGAGTCCTCTCCTGCTGATGTTCAGGTGTATATCAGTATGTAGTGTCTCTACTTTAAAGAGTCCTCTCCTGCTGATGTTCAGGTGTATATCAGTATGTAGTGTCTCTACTTTAAAGAGTCCTCTCCTGCTGATGTTCTGGTGTATATCAGTATGTAGTGTCTCTACTTTAAAGAGTCCTCTCCTGCTGATGTTCAGGTGTACATCAGTATGTAGTGTCTCTACTTTAAAGAGTCCTCTCCTGCTGATGTTCAGGTGTATATCAGTATGTAGTGTCTCTACTTTAAAGAGTCCTCTCCTGCTGATGTTCAGGGAAGTGTGTGGGAGAGGAAAACAGGGATGTTATCCTTTGCAGACCATTTACATGCACTAAAACCTATAGAACTACAGGAGAAGGAAAACCCATAAAACAGAATATGGCCTCTTTAAAACGGTCATACTCCTATGCCTTGATATTGTTCCTAAAAAACACAGTCATTTTGAAATCCCTCATCCACTGACCTCATCTAAACAATGGTTTCTGTCTTGGGTAATTTCCCCTCTGAATGCCGTAGCTCCAGTTTTTGAAAGTAATGTATTAATTTAAAAGTGGTTCTTGGAAGGAGCTCTTGTTGATGTGAACGTGAGGTCAGGATTATTTTGAGGAGCGCTGATTGAGGCCATGAGACACAGATGTCTTGATGTGGATTCAGGGGCCCGACGGACAGAAGCGTCCCCCCTCTGGAGGAGGAGGTTGTGGGTTTAAATCCCCACCTGGGTGCTCCACATTGAGCCAGGACACTCTGTTCCTGTCCCTTAAACATTCATGCGATTACAAACTCTGTGCTTCGTCTGCTGCAGAAAACAAGAGCTTTTCAGGCAGGTTTGTTTATATCGCACTTTTCAACACAAGGCTTTTCAGAAATGAAAGACATTAAGAGCGTAACACATTAGAAACATTAAAAAGCAAAGATAATAAAACAGGTACATGAATAAAAGTTACAGTGCAGTGTGAGATGTAAATAGTTCAATTAAAAGCAGCGGCAAAAAGAAAGTCTTAGCTTGCTATCGAGCTGTGAGACGAGGGAATCAAACTGAGAACACATCGTGAACAGTTGGTCTTTAATCCCATGTGACTCTAAATGTGTCCTATGTTGTAAATGTATTATCTCTTCGATTTACACACGGCATCTATTGCACGTCTGTCCGTCCTGGGAGAGGGATCCCTCCTCTGTTGCTCTCCCTGAGGTTTCTCCCATGTTCCTTTAAACTGTGGGGTTTCTCTGGAAGTGTTTCCTTGTACGATGTGAGGGTCTAAGGACAGAGGGGGTCGTATTGTCATCCTGATATTCTGTACAAACTGTGAAGTCCACTGAGACAAATGTAACATTTGTGATATTGGGCTATATAAATCCTTCCTTCCTTTTGTAATAATGATAGGTGGAGATCAGCTGCACCTGAGCGGAGGCTGTGGCTCAGTGGGTAGTGTGCTGGACTTGGAATCAGGGGATAGCAAGTTTGAGCCCCACTGCAGTCAGCATGTCGTTGTGTCCCTGAGACACTTCACCCCAAATTGCTCCTGTGGGGATTGCCCACTGTATTGAGTATGTAAGTCGCTTTGGATAAAAGCGTCTAACAAGTGACATGTCATGTAATGTAATGTAATGAGCGGAGAGAGAGGACAAAAGAGGGGGGCGCCTAACATAAAGACACATAAAACAACAAAAAAAGAGACCAAAACAACCAACAAAGCTACATTTTTAGCTGCGGAGAAAACCACAACTACTATAAAAAGGTATGGAAAACAACCACAGGCAAAAAAGAACTGGAAGAAATATAAAAAAAACTACAATAAGACACAAAATGAATGCAAAAAGAAACTGTTACTTTAGCGAAATAGTTGAAGTTTCCAATCCACTTTATTTCTATAGCACATTTAAAAACAACAGAGTTGAACAAAGTGCTGTACATCAACAACTGTTTAAAAACATAGCATAAATAAATAAAAAACAGACAGGACATGAAACAAATGTGAAACACGAGACGATGAAACCAGATCAGAAGCCACAGACTGATAACTCTCCTACATGACGTACAAACAATACAAAACACTAGTAAGATAAAAACCCAAATGTAAAAGCACAAGTGTCACCTGGTCTGTAAATGCAAGGGAAAAGAAGTGGGGTTTTAAACGAGATTTACAAACAGGCAGAGTTGGAGCAAGTCTAACCTGGAGGGGCAATTCGTTCCATACGTTTGGAGCTGCAACAGCAAAGGCTCTGTCTCCTCGCTGCTTCAACCTCCATTTAGGGACGACCAGAAGGAGTCTGTCAGCAGACCTCAGTGACCGTGTGGGTGGGTATGGCTTCAAAAGTTTGTCTCAAAGAGTCATTCAATGTGAATTAGGAGAAGTTGAGAATCAGTGGAGCAACTTAAAACCCACAGTGGGTATTATTTAGAGTTAGGTTATAATCAAAATGACATCAAATTAGGGCTTTAATTTTAGTCAAATAAAATGATGAACAAACTTACATCGTCTTTCTGTTATGTTTAATGCAATTTAACGTTTACCCTTTCTCCCATATCTGCATCTCTGAAAGGTGGCGTCATGGGAATTGTAGTCTTTTGATGTCCCTTTGACTACAAATGGGGCCACTAGGGGACAATATTATTTAACCAAATACATATAGATTTAGTCTTAAACGACACACTGTCCCCTTTGTAGTAAGTGTAGAAAAAACTCTGTATACCATCCTTAAGCCCTTAAATGTATAATCATCAAAATGCACTATAATGTCCAATTTCATAATTATACATATTGGATTATGATTATTTATGCATCGATGTGTTTTATTTATTTAGCAGCTGGTTGCGTTTTGACCTTCAGGGCCACCGTACATCTGAGGCTGGTGCACAGTGACCACTACCACAGCATTCCCTCACTGAGTGCTAATGGCATAATGAATGCAGGAAACAACACACACACACACACACACACACACACACACACACACACACACACACACACACACACACACACACACACACACACACACACACACACACACACACACACACACACACACACACACACCACACACACACACACACACACGCACACACCGCTCATCAACAGTCAGCAGGGGGCGACCGAGCCTCACAGTGAGAGGGGGGGGGGGGGGGAGTTTAGACAAAGAGCTCCTCATGCTTCGTCAAAGTAAAACATGTCCCACTTTATTTCTAATTCAGGTTGTTGTCATTAACTCATTAGAAAATCTGTTCAAATCCAAAACCAAAATAGTCTTTTCATGCACAGTTAAATGTTATGTTCTATTAATATGAGTGCGTGATTAATAAAATACATAATCAATACTGGCACTCAGACTTTCCCTATCGATGCAATCTGATTTTAAAATAGAAAAGCGTAATAAAATGTTAGATATTGTCCAATGTGAGCCTGAACTTGGGCTTTCTTTTATTTTCTTTGTATATCTAGCTATGGTAAATATTTTTGTATATATTGAAACGATATAGACAGTACATTTTAAAAATCATTTAAATGCGTATCACTTAAAAAACAATGATTTGAAATAAAAGACATTTGCAGTGCAGTTACGAATCCTTTAAAAATATTCTATTTTCTCAAAATTGCATGAAGATTAAACGACTATAAATTACATTTTAACAATAAAAGTGACACTAAATATGTCAATAATGTCATTTTAATGTGTACTTAGTCATAAAACAAGGATTAATAGAAAAATATAGCTTTGCAGTTCAGTTTAAAGTTCAGATTCCTTTAAAAATATCAGATTTGATCAGATTTGCATGAAGATATACCTCCATTAAGTGACATTTTAACAATAAGAGTGACATTAGATGTCAATAATGTCATTAAAAGGATTATTTGAAATAAAATACATTTGCATTACAGTTTAAAGTTACGTTTTCTTCAAAGATATTATATTTTATCAGAATTGCATGACGATTAAACGACAAAGTGACATTTTAACAATAAAAGTGACACTAAATATGTCGATAATGTCATTTTAATATATACTTGGCACATAAAACCAGTATTAATTGAAAAAGATACCTTTGCAGTGCAGATTAAAAGTACGTTTTCTTTAAAAATATCAGATTTGATCAGATTTGCATGAAGATAAAATGCTATTAAGTGAGATTTTAACAATAAAAGTGACACTAAATATGTCGATAATGTCTTTTTAATTTAAACTGAGCACATAAAACAAGGATTAATTGAAAAAGATAGCTTTGCAGTACAGTTTAAAGTGAAGTTTCAAATAAAGATATCATATTTTCTGATTTGCATGGAGATAAAACGCCACTAAGTGTCATTATAACAATAAAAGTGACACTAAAAATGTAGGTAATGTCATTTTAATGTCTGCTTGGCACTTACATTTTTTATATTTGAGATAAAATACATTTGCAGTACAGTTTAAAGTTACGTTTTCTTTAAACATATCATCTTCTCTTTCTTGCATTTAGATAATTAAATGGCATTCTTATAATAAAAACGTCCACAATGTAGTTTTAATTTCCACCACTGCCTCTAATTGCATGTCCCGTATGCTCCAGCTATTAAACACTGTAAAAAAAAAAAAAAAAAAGCAAAAGTAGGCTTGGCCAAATTCCCTGAACTCTGCTAATCTACACATCATCTCCTTCCTTTCTGCAGACGCTATCGATCCGTCCGGCTTTACGTCAGTATCGATAACTTTGCCAAAGCAGAAAAAAAAAAAATCAAGTGCAATGTCCAGTTAATGTCGGGGGACGGAGCCTCGTGCACACTTTCTACTTTCTCCTAAAAACAACAACAGTGTTCCTGTGTGGCTCCACAGAAACATGTGTGCACAGCTGTCAAACCCCGAGCCTCATGTTGGCTCTTTATTTATCCCTCTCTGTTCGCTGATCGCTGTTTAACGAGAGGGGGGAATCCAGCCCACATATTTATTGCAGCCGCTGAAAAAAAATCTCCTCAATATCCCCCAAGATGGCCGCCGATGTAGGATCGATGTTTCAATATTGGAAGAAATTTGATCTCCGGCGGCTCCAGGTTAGTGCTTTTCGCCTGTTTTACGCGTTTTTCCTACAGCGGTGTGTGTCGCCTGTCCTCCCCGGTGCACGGTGAGGGGTTTGGGGCTCGTGCACGGTGCAGCTGGCGGGGTTTGCATTGATAGTTATTAGAAATTGATCTCTGTTCTGCCTTTGTTCGGTTCAATCATTGATCCTGCGTTAAAGCCACACCGACCTGCGATCAGCACCGCGGACAGCACGGCTCTCTCCGGTGCGTTTTCCACTTTCTCTGCCTTTTCCTCACCGTTCATCTTTCTGTTTCTTATCTTACATGCACGGAAACTTTTAACGCTACCCCTGAATCCCGGTGCTTTCTTTGGACATAACTTTTTTCCTCCCCAGCTTTAATGTTTGATGCGTCGACGGCTAGTGCTGCAGCTTCCAGTAGGATACATTCATTCTGTTTTAGGATTTTAAGAGATATTGCATGCTGGGGGAAGTTTCATGTGTGGAAGGGAAAGTTTATTATCGGAATTGAGTTTATTACACGTACAAGGAATTAGCTTTGGTGGTGCAAACATCAACAACATGAGAACATAAGTTGTAAGAGAAGCTCAGAAATGTAACGATTATAGCATTTTGTGCATGTTTCGGTGCCAAATTAATCAGCTTGCACACGGATGAAAAGCGTGCAGGATTTGTTTGTATCACATATTCAATGACATGGCAGCACCCTAAGCTAGAAGGTGCATAAATATCCCACATGGTGAATCTGAATGCATGTTAAAAGAAGCAGTTTTTCTCGTGTCCACTCTCTCCTGCAACCGCGACAATATATTCGGATTTTCGTGCATAAATATCTCTTAAGTCATGCACACTGATGCAAAACGTGCAGGGTTTGTTTGTGTCACATCCTAAGTGACATAGCAGCATCCTAAGCTAGAAGGTGCATATATATCCCACATGGTATTCCTGAATGTATATTAAAATGAGCTGTTTCAGTGTCCACTCCACTGTCACATTTATGTATTTTGGTGCAAAAAAATAGCTGTTAAGTCACAGTGATGAGGAGCGTGCTGGGTTTGTTTGCATCCCATCCCAAACATGCTATTAAAGGACATGGTAGCACCCTGAGGTGGAAGGAGCATGGTATATCTGAATGCATGTTAAAAGAAGCTGTTTTTTTAGTGTCCACTCCACTCTCTCCTGCAGCCGCAGAGGGCTGGGGGTGGGGGGGGCTGTGTAATTGTATTCCCCGCTAATGTTTGTAAATCAGCCTCGGCCGGCGCAAGGGCAGCGGAGTGACTGATGTTCTGTAACATGAGAGATGACAGCAGCATGGCAGTGTGTGTTGCACAAAAAAAAAAAAATCCCTGTACCGAGGGGGAGCAGGAGTCAGATCCGCTACTGGAGCCTCTCTCCCCGGGTGTTGTTGCTACTCCTGGCCGCTGGACCCCTCTCTTCTCCGGGCTAAAGGAGCTATGCATGTAGCCTCCTCTCCCTCCTCATGATAGATGTATACATTCAAGGTTTTTCATTACATGTGAGTGAGCAGCTGAATGTGATCTGCCCCTACAGGATGCCATTACCTGCAGCAGTGATGGAGTGGTGGACAATCAAAAGGCTATAGTCTGTAACAGGGGTCTTTTATATATCAAAAATAAATAATGATAGTTTCCCTTGAATGACCTCATCCTCAGATGGAGTATTGACAGTTCATAAAGGGGGATGCAGTTGAGACGGACCCCAGTTCGCAGGATTTTGCATTATGTAGTCCAGGTGAAATTGTGCAGGGTATTCTCTCTGTTAGTCGCTTAGTCTGAGAAATGTCAGACAATATGCAAGGTTAGGTCTTAAAATGTCAAAAATATTCACTTTAATATGATTTAAAACTGAGAAAAGCAGGAAATCTCCATGTTAAAAGGCTGAAAATAGCATTTTCTGAACTGTTTGCATAGAAAATGTCAATTAATGCAATATATATAAATAGTTGGAGAGTATTTTCCTGACTACAAGTAATGTTTTTTTCCCTTATTAATAGTCGACTAACCATGGAAGGACTCCCAGTGTTTAGGATTTCCGTAGTCCAGGTGATATTGTGCAGGTTATTCTCTCCACTACTCGCTTAGTCTATGAAATGTCACAAAATAGAGAAAAGTTTCCAAGGGGACGTCTTTAAATGTCTTGTTCTGTCAGTCTTAACCCTAAAAATGTTCACTTTATTATGATATAAACCAGAGAAAAACAGGACATTTCCATATTTCCGTACTATTAATGCAATATCAAAATAGTTTGCCAGTATTATCCTGATGATTTACTACAATTAAAGATTTGTCGACCTATTAATAGTAGACTAGTGTTTGCAGCTCGAGTGTAATTGGGTCATGTGTACGGACAGATATAAGGTGCAGGTCGTGTTGTTGTAAGATCTGGATCATTTGAAGAGGAAGACTATGGAGCAAAATGGTTATGCATGGATGAAAACGTAAACATTTTCTTCAAGGAGGAACACCTAACAGTCTTCCACAAAGTTACGGAAAAACCTAGAGGATCCTTAAATCCTCTAAATTTCAGAAAATATTGAAAAATGTCCCTCCCAGTTTCTCAAAGTCCTATAATTTAATATCGTCTTGTATCCGTCTAAAACACAAAGATACTCACTTTAATATGATATAAAACTGAGATGAGCAGGAAACGCCTTATTTGAGAGGTTTAAAGTGGCTTTTATTGACATTTCTGCAACAAACAATTGACTATCAACATATTCTACGGATCGATTAGTCTGTGCAGCTCTATGTAAAGCACTGTATCACATAAATCACTATGGCTAGAATCACCTAATCGGCTTGAATTCTAGCAAATACATATAACGTGCGTTCACTTTGCCTGTGTTTGTTACTAAGAAAACGTGTTGGTGTTGGCATGTGATCATGTGGCAAAGATAGCTCACCGCATGTTTTGACATTTCTGCTCAAATCCAGTTTCTTTAGCGCTGTAAATATCTTATATTCCTCGTTCTGATTCTTCCACGCCTCTGGTTGTAAACATGCGTGTCTCCTGAACGTGACATCCTCTGCTTCACGTGTCAGAAATCAATTAAAGCTAAAACACACAATTATCTTTAATCGTAGTGAATGTGAATAGCGTGGGTTCACTCTCTCTTTGTTTTCCAACTGGTTTAGATCAACTTTAGGCAGTGATCATGTGACTAAGATAGCACAGCTTTTCTTAACACTGTAATATATATGTTTTTACAAGGTGAGCATGGACCTGCTTCTCTTTTCTTGTCTTCCACGCCTCTGGTTGTAAACATGCGTGTCTCTTGAACGTGACATCCTCTGCTACATGTGTCAGAAATCAATTACTTCACTTACTTCTCGTGGTCACGGTTCAAAATCTCTGCAGCTGCTGGTTCCCCATCTCTCCCACCACACACATAGAACATATTTATTTGAGCTGTGCACACTGGAACGTGTATTTTTGATCATTACGGGCGATTATATCAGCGATCTGACGGTGCAGATTCTGGGTGTTTGTGCAGAGGAGGATGAATAATTCACCTGCAGCTGATGAAAGCAGGCCAGAGAGAGGTGGAGTGACCTTGGTTCCCGCTGGCTGCAGGTCACCGTGCCGTTGCTGTGGTAATCATTCACACCAGCCAGATGGCATTTCCGTGGGCGAGCATGAAAAGGACGGGTCAGGGTCTGTCCTGCCGGGCCCGAAAAAACAACTCGGGGCCAAAAACACAACCTGGAGAGAGGAAGAGAGAGAGAGAGAGAGAGAGAGGAAGGGAGAGAACAGAGAGTCTGCAGAGCCAGGTGCATCAAACAGGAAGGAAGTGCACTTTACTGGCAGCTGAAATGTCAAATGTATCATTATTTTATTGCACAACTTGATAAAACGGGAAGAAAAGCAATTCCAGACATCAAGTATTTTGATAATGTTCAGTCGTTACAGTCCATCTTTGTGCAAAAAAGGCATATATGTGTTGAGGTGTGCTATCTGTGTCACATGATCGTGATGATAAAGGAGATTTCTACACTTTAGGAGACGTTTTTGCTGTAATTCAAGGAGAGGTGTCATGGCCATTTCCACTGATCATAGTTCCATTGTTGAGGTCTACTAGAATAGATTTATATTGTGCATTGTTCCAAACTCACATTGGTTTCTCATACAGCATCTCTGTAAACTACGTGTATTCACTGAATTTCACTCTCTGCCTTTAACGGCTCGTTGTAGCTCCAATAGCTCCAGCCCCCACCCTCCCTGTGAGCACAGTGTGCTCTGATTGGTCGGGACGTTGTGAATCGCGCTGAGCTCCGTGGAGGTGTTGTTTCCTTGTTAGCGATACACAGCCAAACTCATCCTGAGCACACACAAAGTCACAGCCGAAGTAAAAACAATAAGTGTGGCTTGATATTGAGTAAGAAAAAGGTTGATAAACGCTGTGAGAATGGGTCTGCAGAGAGAATGGGTCTTCAGAGAGAATGGGTCTGCAGAGAGAATTTCGCCGCGATCCCAACTGTCTGTTATCAGCCTGCAGCCAGGGAGGAGAAATCAGCTGAGCTGCCTGCTCCCTGCACACAGATGTGTGTGTGAGGAAGTCCTTGGATTGGTCAATTTGGACCAATCAGCGGGGGCTTAACGTAACGGCTCCGCGGACGTAACGTAACGGCCCCACGGATTGGTCCATTTGGTTCCGGGTACCGCATGACCGTATCGCGTCATAACTCTGGGCGTGGCTACTGGGTATCCCTATGTAGCGATACCCAGGAAGTAAACAATGGACAATGACGTATCTCCAACGAGGCGTTTTGGGGAGGTATTTTCTGTGTTAGAGTTTTACTCGCTACAGGGTGTACTTTGAGGGTTTGTGACTCTGCACACCGTTTACATGCATACAAACCTTCATAACACACAAGGGGACGGGTGATAACTGGAAAAGCATGACACCTCTCCTTTAAAGCAAATCATACATGCTGAGTTCATTGAGTTCTGACACCTGTAAGATAGAAGATAGTTCACCGTGCATATTTACTG